AAAAAACCGAAACCGAATCAAAACCGACGGTTAGGGTTTTATGTTTTTAAAAACCGACTTTTCGGGTTCGGTTTCGGTTTTTACCCAGAAACCGACCCAATAAACCCGAGAAACCGACCCTCTTTAAAAACCGAGAAACCGACCCATAAACCCGCAAAACCGACGGTTTTTACTGCCCATATTATATATATATATATATATATATATATATATATATATATATATTAAAAAATAAAGATGAATAAAAGAAGCCCTTCATCATTTCCGACTTTCCTCATTTACATTTTGCAAAGGCGCATCTCCGACTCCGACTCCATTGAAGTGAAGAAGCTCGGCACTCCTCAGGCGCTCAATCGATCGCACACTCACAGTCTCCACCCTCGAACGATCGGCAGTCGCACACAGACGAGACCTGTAACGGAGCCCTAAACCTCCAGCGCCATCAACGAGACCTGCAACTCCTCGGTATCGTCAAATACGGTAAATGCTTTTTCTAAATTCATGTTCAATTGGCAATTGCTGCTTGCTACCATTGGCAACAACCCAAACCCAAAAAAACCTTACGACCCAATTTTTCTGATTTTATATAGAATCTTCAATCTTGTGTTTATGTTGTGAATTTCATAATTTCTCTTGTGTGTTGTTGTCCGGTTCATTTGATGCATTGTAATTGTATTATTATTATGTTTTCAGAATTTCAGAATCTTCAATCTGAAATTTCAGAATTTCAGAATCTTCAATCTTGTATTATTATCTTCAATCTTGTGTTTATGTTGTGATTATTATTATTATTATTATTATTATTATTATTATTATTATTATTATTATTATTATTATTGAAACTTTATCTTATTTCTATCATATTTATGTATGTTATTGTCCTTATGATGGAAAGGGATATAGGAAGAATTTCATATAAGCGATCTCTTCACTAACGTATGTTTGTACTAATACCACATAAAGTTTCTTAACTCCGACATTGTCAGTCGCAGATGGTGTTTAAGGAGGTGAAAAAACCTTTGATGCATTGTATTCTGAAATGTTGATATCAAAATAATCAATTTGATGCATTGTATTCTGAAAGATATGAACCTTATTGTTTGCATATAGAGTGTTGAATTGAAGCTTTTTATTTCCTGAAATTTTTTGGTTTACATATGGATTGGTGATTGTTTTTTTCTATGTAGATGGAAAGCTCTCAACTAGATGCACAAACTGTTGATGTTGATGCTCCCCAAACCATTGATGTTGATCTTGATGTGGATGAAGGAGATGATGAAGTAGTTGCAGATAATAAGGGTGGTGGTCATAGAGTATCTTGGGTATGGCAACATTTTGATAGAGATGCTGTAAAGAAGGGTGCTAAGAAAGTGAAATGCCCATATTGTTCAACAATGATGTGTGCAAATTCAAAGAAAAACGGTACGAGTGCAATCGGAAATCATTTAAGACTCTATTGTCCAACATCTCCTGTTTATGACCCTAAAGGAAAAGTTGGTGATACGAAAAAACAATCTGTGTTGAGTTTCAAAAAAGTAGGAGACTCGGGGGCTACTTCTTTGGAAGTTCATTCCTTTAGCCAAGAGAAATGTAGGAATTCCTTAGCCCGCATGTGTATCAAAGACAATCAACCTTTTAGCATAGTTGAAGATGAAGGATTTAGGGAATATTCACGGGATTTGCAACCTCTATTTAAATTGCCTTCAAGGTGGACTGTTGCAAGGGATTGTTTGCAGATATACAAAGAAGAAATGTATAAATTGAAGGATGTTTTAAAAAATCAAACCGTCTCCATTACAACTGATACTTGGACATCCATCCAGAACATTAACTATAGTTGTTTAACGGTACATTGGGTTGATGAGACGTGGGTTTTGAGAAGAAAATTCTGAACTTTTGTCCCATTGCAAATCATAAATGTGTAACCATAGGCAAACTCGTTTACAAATGCTTACAGAATTGGGGAATTGAGAAGGTGTTTACAGTGACTGTGGATAATGCTTCCTCAAATGATGGGGCAATTAGGTATCTAGCGACCATGCTTAGGGGACCCCATGCTTTTTTGGATTGCAAATATTTGCATTTGAGGTGTTGTGCTCATATCATAAATCTTGTGGTTAGGGACGGGTTAGAAGAACATTTTAGTTCCATCACAAAGATCTGAAATGCTGTGAAGTATGTGTGGTCATCGGGTGCTAGGTTTGCTACATTCCTAGAGTGTGTTGAGAAAGTGAAGATTAATTGTAGTAAGAAACCATCCCTTGATGTTGACACAAGATGGAATTCTACATTTTTGATGTTAGAGACGGCAGAAAAGTATGAGGCGGCGTTTGATAGGTATTTTATATACTATTAAGTATGATATATATATATATATATATATATATATATATATATATATATATATATTATAATTTACATACTAATGTTTTTATTGAATTTTATTTTGTATTGTAGGCTTCTTGCGATTGATAGTGGTTTTAAAACTTTTTGTGGAAGTGAGGTTGATGATGGTGAAGTGACTACCAGAAAAAGAAGAAGAAATGAGAAAGTTGTGGGGACTCCCGATGCCGACGATTGGGAGGTTGCTAGGTATAATTGCTTTGTATATTACTTCAATTATGAAATTTGATATTGTTTAATTGCTTTGGTAGGTATTTTATCGACTATTTGAGGATCTTTTACAATGTCACAAAAAAGATATTCGGGTCCAAGTATGTGACAGCAAATATATTTTTTAAGGAACTTGTGACAATGCAAGCAAGCATAACTAGAATGTGTGCAAGCACAGACGAGAAAAAGAAAAAGATGGCAAAGTCGATGAAAGAAAAATACGACAAATATTGGGACAACATTGAGAACATGAACTTCATGCTTCACATTGTTGTCGTTTTAGATCCCCGCAACAAGATGTGTTATTTGGAGTATTGCTTGGAGTTGATTTATGGTAAGAATTCTACCAAAACAAAAACAATTTTGGAGCATGTCAACAAAACACTAGAGGACTTGTTTCAACACTTCAAGAACAAGACGGAGAGAGAAAGATGTGAAAAGACAAGGAGTGCATCGTCTTCTACACCTAGTTATTTTGATTTTGAGCATGGAGTTGATATGGAAGACGATTTTGAAAGGTTTATGGAACAACGTGGACATGGGGTTAATAAAACAGAGCTTGAGATTTATTTATCAGATGGGATGGAAAAACGGGCGGAGGATTTCCAGATTTTGGGGTGGTGGAAATCTAATTCAACAAAGTTTCCTGTACTTTCTGAAGTGGCGAAACTTGTTTTAGGAATGCCAATCTCCACAGTTGCATCAGAGTCGGCATTCAGTACTGGCGGGAGGGTGATTGATGAAAGTAGAAGCTCCCTTACACATGTGACTGCCGAAGCTCTGATTTGTGCACAAGATTGGATACGGGACACCCCAATTGATATCCAGTTTAAAAATATGACGACTTTATATATGGAAGAGACGCGAGAGAAGTTGGTGCCAATAGAAACCGGTAAATATTTTACTATTTTTTACATAATTATAAGTTTGTAATTATATATGTTTATAATTAATTAATTACATACTATTGTTTTGTGTTTGTAGAGGAATTGGGGTGTGGTCAAGGGAGTTGCATGGATGAGGATTTTACTTGAATTTTAAAGGTTTATAAGTTAATTATTTTAATTTTATACTTTTACACAAGTTTATTGCTCAATAATCATTAATCAATACTAATGTTTTTTGGTTTGTAGATGAATGGGGAAGTCGTGAAGAGATTTACATGGATATGGATTGAAGATTCGTGTTTGCGTGTTTTGGACTTTTGGTTGTAATCGACTATTTGACTATTTCGGACTTTGTGTTTTAGTGATTGTGTGTTAATGTGTTTGGTTGTAATAATTGACAATTTTGGACTTTTGTGCTTTAGTTTGATTGTATGTTTGGTTGTAATAGACAATTTGGTTGTAAAACTCATGTTTTTTGAAGTATTTAACTTGAATTAAGTGTTTTTTGAATTATTTAACTTATTGCTCCATTTCTGGAAAATGGGTTTAAACCCAAAACCCATGGGTTTAAACCCAGAAACCGTAAGTTTATGGGTTGAACCGAAGAAACCGAGAAACCGCCCAAACCGATAACAGAACCCGAGAAACCGAACCGACCAGAAACCGATGCCATTGGGTTCTGAAAACCAGAAACCGATCATTTACGGGTTGGGTTGGGTTGGGGTCCAAAACCGACCCAAACCGACCCATGCACAACCCTACTCTCAGTAAACAACCTGGTGAACTCCGTCACCGAGTCTGTGCACTGACGCCAATCTAAGAACTACTGTGTTAGCCTCTCCCTCTCTACCCGTGGAATATAACGGGTACTGAACATGCCCCTGAACTGATCCCAAGTAATCATAAGTCGCTTCTCATTAGTGTATGATCCTGTAACCAATGTCCATCAATCCTTCACCCCAGACCATAACAGGTTCAGAGCACACCTCACCCTCTGATCAACAGGGCATGAACACGTGACGAAACATCCCTCCATCGAAAGTAGGGGGCTTTGTCGAAGTCCCAGTACTGAAAAGCCCGGACAGCTCCTGCCCCTGCTGTTATTACAGTCGATGCCGCTACAGCGAAAGCTATCTCAGTATGGGCTACATAGTGCTCGTCAAAGTACTAAACGACGACGGTCTTAATATACCCAAGCATCTCCGGTAACTGTGCCCAGAACAGAGTAGCAACCTCATCATGCAGGATCTCACGAATCTTGGCATCCAACTCATCGGTCCCCATCTGACCAATGACCTCGGGCGGTACTGATCCATCCTGACCACCCACTCGTGATCCTGATCTAGCCCCAAAGCATCTCGTAACCACCATACTGAAAATATACCAAGAAGAATATCAGATAATCCGCATAATAACTGGGAACCAACTCCCAGCTAACCCTAGGGATTATGACTTCCTAGACACACATATGGGTCATGTGCTTTCAGTAGTACGGACCCATACTACCTTCCACAACTACCCATATTTTTGTCAAGTATCATCATAACACCCTAATATACCCATGCATGGTGATTTCTCAACCCTCGCTCCTAGAGAAAGGCTAACTATTTCATAATTGGCATACCGACCTCACACAACCCACCAACTTCCACCAACCTTGCAACACTAACACTGAACCCTATAGAGTTCCGAATACCTGATCATACCCTAGGCCCTTCATTAGACAAGAATAGAAAATAAGGCCAAACCAAACATTCACAAGCTATAAGGTCTTTATTATGTACAACTATGATGCATACACTAAGCGATTATAGTAATGATGTCAATTTCATATAAGGAAAACCCAAGGCTATCAGACATCATACAATCAGGAAATTTTACCATGTAATTCCTGAAGATCCCTAGCCTAGTACTAGCATGTTGATCTAACATATTAAGATATAAAATAACTGTATCGTATTTTGGGGTTTACTTACTGGCTCCAACTGACAGTACACATCACATCCCCTTTACTTATTTTGAAAATCATTTGAAAATTATTTTGAAAAACTTTTCCTTGATTTTAGTATGGATTCACACGAGTGTTCCTCCAATTCACTCAAACCAAGGCTCTGATACCAACTTGTAACAACCACAAAATTTACAAAAAGTTTAAACTTTTTCAAACCAATCCATGTAAATAAAATTATTAAAACACCAACATAGTTCACAAATTATTTTCAAAACAGTCTCATATCAGAGTTCCCAAAAATCACAAGTCATAAAATGTGAGGATGTGTACATCACGCTTTCGCCTTTCCATGGTCACCTGAAGTATCCGAAACAATAATCAATAAATGTAAGCTTGCAGGCTTAGTGAGTTACCCCCAAAACACCAACATATACAACCCAAACAATAAGATAACAAACAATATGCATAATGAGCCTCCAACATGGTTGGACCACCTCACTGGGCCTACAGCCTATCTGGATTGCTCCCGAGCCTTCGGCATGACTGGAGCAGCTCGTAGGGCCTATAGCCTATCTGGTCTGCTTGTTGGGCCTTCGACAAGACTGGACAGCCTCGCAAAGCTGCCCCTAGTATGTTGTCTTACAACACAAAGCAGGACCACCTCAACCCAACCACCAGAAAAAGAATCATGTGCACATAAGTAACATATGCTAGAATATAAATCTATTAATCAACCGCTCTAATAAATCAATTAGCATAACAACATCCTATAACCAGGATACCAACATAACTGGCAACTAAGCATACTATCATCCTAACTATCAGAGTGCTAATCAGTAAGCATAGCATGTAATAAACTTGGATACAATCTGAAGGGCCGACATTGGTGCCTTTGACCCTTGTTGATATAGTGAGAATAACTCACCTATCATGTAATGCAGAAATGAACTGAGAGTCTCTAACCGCTATCTCATCGACAACCTCGACTATCTCAAATGACAAATACTAAATTAATATGTGAGATCTCAAAATTACCAAAGGGTCCATATTGTCCATTTCTCTAATTTAGGCCAAAGGCCCAATATCAATCCACTACCCAAAGTGCATATACATAAGCCCATCAATGGATCGATTTTCCTAATTGGGCCTAACTTCCTAATTGGGCCTTACCATAGGACCCCTTATCAAAACTGACACAACTTTAATTATTCAGGACCAAATAAGGCCCAAATTCAAATATTCTAAAAGCGGCCCAAACTTGAATCCCCAATGTCAAAAGCCCAACAGAGGACATATGCGGAGCGTACCCCTCCAGTATGTTGGGTGTACTCCTGCTCTATGTTGAACGCCATCAGGGTGGTTGACCCCGTATGCTAGGCGTACAGGAATTATGCTGGGCGTATGCGGGGTTTCACCAAAACCCTAATAAGTGCTTAATGGCTTAAGCACTTAAGCCCAAACTCCAGATCCAACGACCAAATGTGCCATAGAACTATAGAGTCTCAAACTTTATCACTTTGGATATCCAGAAAGTTCTTAACACATGGTCTTAATCCTTTAAGACCTTCCTACTTCACGCATGAGACAAATCTAATGATTGGGACACCATTTTTATCACTTAGGACCTCTTCTAAGTTTTGAAAGGACGCCTCATTTCGTCCAAATCACAAGATGCACCATTTTGGGACTTTTGGGAGAAGAATGCTTCCATAAAGCTAAAATGACTAGATCTATATCTTACAAGTATAAAGTTCCAAGCTTTTTACCTTCTGGAGCTTCTAAGGAACAATACAACTTCAGATCTATAGTCTTGTTCTCCTTCTCCAACTACTTGGTGTAATGTCTTCGCCTTCAAAGGTTCAAAATACACACCAACTCACACTCACACACAAAACTAGGGTTTGCAACGCTTTCTTGGATATGGAGGCTAAGGATAATAAGAGGAAGTGAACTATTAGGGTTTTTACCTGCCTTGAGTACGCCCAACATACATGAGTGTATGCCTAGCGTACTAGGGTGCGCCTAGTACACTCAACGTACATAGCCTAGTACGCTCAACGTACCCTTATGTACGCTCAGTGTACTCCTGTTAGGTTTTGGTATAATACAACATCCTATGGTGCACATACAACCTTAAATACCTTGGATCTATGTTTTCATTAATTATACATGCAAATGGTTTCCAAGGCATTAAACCTATAACTAGCATGCATTTGACATAAACCATATAATATACTAGTTAGGGAAACATACCTTTTATGTGGCTTAAAGTCTTGATGTATTTGGTCTTAAGAGCTTAGCACCAATAGTATGAAATGCCTCAAATGGAATCACAACACACCTAGGACAAAGGTGGCTCTTGAGAGAGAATTCCATGCACCAAAACACCTCCATATTTTTCTAAGAAAAGAAGTGGTGATTTTGGCTATGGAGTAACCTATTTATATGTAGGATTCCAAGGGTCATGGGTATCACCCATAATCCATACCCATGGGTTTTATGATCCATGGTTCATGTGGCCCAACTCTTTATGTATCCATACATAAACTTGGTCCAACATGGATCATAAGCCCAACACATATAAATATAAATAATTATCATAATGAGTCCCCATAGATTTAATTAGTCTCTTTTGATCACTAAATTAATTCCAAATTAATTCTTGATCGATACTAATTAAAACATATGATTTCATATTAATATATTATAACTTATAATATATTAATAAACCATAAATAACCTTCTCTCAAAAGTCCATCCTAACAAATTGTCCTGATGATATGCAACCCAAATGGACCATGCTACTCTCGGGTCAAGTACATACCGATAATAGTTATGGGCTTAGACATCTAATTCAACAACTCCTTCCTGACCCAAAGTTGCAACTTTAGCCCTTACCTCTCATGGCCCAACTCAACCAACTCCAGGGAATAGAAATGGAAAATAATAAAAAGAGAGGGGAGATTCGAAATAGACCTGCAAAGCTTGGGATGTTACAATTGAAGATCTCATTAGTAGTAATTCAGCGATATAAATACAGTAAAAACGGACGTTAAATGACAAAATTATGAATTTTTAATGAACTTTAACTATCTAAGGCTGTTAAAATATAACTTTTAAAATAAACTCAAAATTAGCTGACGAAATCTAAATGAAATTTGTAGATGATTTGTTGCTTGACAACCTTTTTCTCAAC